CCTATATATATATAGTATATATATATATTATATATATATATATATATAGGAATCCCATAGTCCATATATATATCCCATATACACAGTATATATTTTAAACTTTTTATTTTGCAAGATCTCTCACCTCATTGTGGGGCTTGAACTCACAACCTGAGACCAGAGATTTGCATGTGCTCCAGATCAGAACTTTCAGCCCAGGCACCCCTGAACCGATTTCTGAAAAACATAATTAGAGTTACAAGGGAGAAAATAAAAACAATTGGATAACAAGTAAGGACAAACAAAAACCAATGCCCAAATAATTCCTATCTCTATAAACTGAACTATTGTTTTTTTTTTAATGATGTATTGAATTTCTATATTTCGATACTTTGTACAACAAAGTACAAAGGGCTTGTCCAATTCACAAAATATATAAAGGTATGTCGTCGTGTTAGAATCTGATTATCCTATTAATAACAAACGTTTCTCTGTCTTCAGAGAACTTGTAATCTGCAAAAAAGAGTGACATTAAATCAATAATGGAAGCCTATTAAAATAAAATAAGAAAACACATATTTTCAACCAGTAGGGCCCTCCATTTTGGTAGGTGTGTTCCACTAATACACTTGTAATGGAAATATATATGGGAGAAATTAATTGCACACATATATATATATATAGGATATATCCCATATCCCATATATATATCCCATATGTATATATTTTAAAGACTTTATTTTTAAGTAATCTCTACACTCATTGTGGGGCTTGAACTCACAACCCTGAGACCAAGAGTTGCATGCTCCATGGACAGAACTAGCCAGGCACCCCTGGTCCCATGATTTTTGAAAACATACTAGAGTTACAAGGGAGAAAATAAAAAACAACTGGATAACAAGTAAGGACAAACAAAAACCAATGCCCAAATAATTCCTATCTCTATAAACTGAACCATTGTTTTTTTTTTAATGATGTGGCTTGAATCTCTATTTGATACTTTGTACAACAAAGTACAAAGGCTTGTCCATCTACAAATATATAAAGTGGTATGTCAAGCAATGTGTTAGAATCTAGATTATCCTGGCCAACAAACAGAAACGTTCTCTGTCTTCAGAGAACTTGTAATTCGGTAAAAAAGAGTGACATTAAATCAATAATGGAAGCCTATTAAAATAAAATAAGAAAAACACATATTTTCAACCAGAAATTTTACTTTTAGAAATGTGTTCCACTAATACACTTGTAATGGAAATATATATGAGAAAATTAATTGCAACATTATTTGTAGCATCAAAAGACTAGCAAACTAAGTTATAGCGTATCTAAGAAATAAAGAGGAATGAGGAATACTTACCTATGTTGAAATGGAATAATCACTGAGTTATATTGTAAGGTAGAATGATGTTGAAGTTAAATTGTAAAGAGAAAAAAGTCTAGGACAATGTATCTGCTATGCTCATATTTCTGTTTTTAATAAGGAATATATAGATACGCAAATGAATGTTTGTATGTATGCAGTCTATTTAAGGAATTGTACCCAAGAAACAAGTAACATTAGTTGCCTCTGGAAAAGAACATTAGGGTTTGGGGATGGAGCAGATCCCTTCGCCCCCTTTTGGAATGTAATTAGCTTAATACAAATACACCTTTTAAAAATATAGGGGCGCCTGGGTGGCGCAGTCGGTTAAGCGTCCGACTTCAGCCAGGTCATGATCTCGCGGTCCGGGAGTTCGAGCCCCGCGTCGGGCTCTGGGCTGATGGCTCAGAGCCTGGAGCCTGTTTCCGATTCTGTGTCTCCCTCTCTCTCTGCCCCTCCCCCGTTCATGCTCTGTCTCTCTCTGTCCCCAAAATAAATAAAAACGTTGAAAAGAAAAAAAAATTAAAAATATATAATTCAGTGGGTTTTAATATATTTTTGAATTTGTGTAATCATTTCCATCATCTAATTCCAGAACATTTTTATCATACCAAATTTAATCCCATACCTGTTAGCAGGCACTTCCCATTCCCTCTTTCTTCCCTTCCTAGGGTAAACTAATTTACCCTAGGAATTGCCTGCTCTGGACATTTTATGTAAACAGAATAATGTATTATGTTGCCATCTTTTGTTTAGTGTACTGTTTTCAAGGTCATCCATGTTGTAGCCTAAATCAGTACTTCTCTCCTTTTTATGTGGAATAATATTCCATTGTATAGATGTACCATGTTTTATTTATCTGCTTACCAGATAATGAACATTGGGTTGTTTCTACTTTTTGGCTATTATGATAATGCTGCTCTGAATACTTTTTAAAAAAAATTTTATTTATTTTGAAAGTGAGAGAAAGCATGAGTGGAGGAGGGGCAGAAAGCGAGCAGGTGAGAGAGAATCCCAAGCAGGCTCTGTGCTGTGTGCAGATTTCATGACTGAGAGATCATGACCTGAATAGAAATCAAGAGCCAGATGCTTAACTGGCCGAACCACCCAGGCACCCCTCCTCTGAACGTTTTTGTGCAAGTTTTTACATCAACATGCTTTCATTTCTCCTAGATATACACTTATCAGTGGGGTTGCTGGGTCATGTGGTAAGTCCATGTTTAACATTTTGAGGAGCTACTTTTCACAGTGGATGCAGCATTCTGCATTCTGACCAGGAATGTCTGAGGATTCTAATTTCTCCAAGTCCTCATCAGCACTTGCTATTGTCTGTCTTTTTAATTATAGCCATCATAGATATAAAATAATATCTCACTGTGGTTTTAATTTACATTTCTCTAATGAATAATTATCTTGAACATCTTTTCATGTGTTCATTGGCCATTTTATGTCATTGGAGAGATAGCTATTCAGAACATTGTGTCTATTCAAGCCCATTTATTTTTTTATAGTTGAGTTGTAAGAGTTTTAAAATATTTTCTGAATGTTAGAGGTTTATCAGATATATATCTACAGATATTTTGTTAATTCTGTGGGTTATCTTTTCATTTTACTAGAAGTATATATGAAGTACAAAAGTTTTTAATTTTGATGAAGTCTAATTTATCTAAAAACTTTGGTTCCTTATGCTTTTGGTGTCATATTTAAGAAACTATTGCCTAATCCAAGGTCACAAAGATTTACAACTATATTTTCTTCTAAGTGTTTGTAGTTTTCATTTGTCCATTTAGGTCTCTGATCTATTGGGGTTCATTTTTATGTGGGGTATAAATAAGCAGTACAACTTAATTTTTATTTTTGTTTTTTTTATGTGGATACCCAGTTATTTTCCTGCTATAAGTTGAAAAGACTATTCTTTCCTCATTTAATTCCATTGGCACCTCTGTTCAAAATCAGTTGATCTTTATGTCTGCCCTATGCTAGTACTACACAGTTTTGACTACTGTAGCTGTGTAAAAAGTTGTGAAATTAGAAGTGTGAGTCCTTCAACTTTGTTCTTCTTTTACATTGGTTTTGGCTATTTTGGGTCTGTTGCTTTTGTATATGAATTTTAGGATCAGCTTGTCAATTCTGCAACAGAGAAAAAAGACACCTGGATTTTTGATAGGGATTGCATTGAATCTGTAGGTCAATGTGGGGACTATTGCCATTTCACAGTATGGAGTTTTCCAATCAGTTAACATGAGATGTCTTTCTTTTAAGTTTTTATTTAAATTCCAGTTAGTTAACATATAGTGTAATATTAGTTTCAGGTGTCCAGTATAGTGATTTAACATTTCCATGCATCACCCACTGCTCATCACAACAAGTTCACTCTTTAATGAACATGGGATGGCTTTTCATATTTTTTTAATGTTTATTTTTGAGAGAGAGAGAGAAGAGAGAGAGAGAGTGAGTGAGCAGAGGAGAGGCAAAGAGAGAGGGAGACACAGAATCTGAAGCAGGCTCCAGGCTCTGAGCTGTCAGCACAGAACCAGATGTAGGGTTCAAACTCACGAACTGCGAGATCATGACATGAGCCAAAGTCAGTCGCTTAACTGACTGAGCCACCCAGGCACCCTGGAATGTCTTTTCATTTATGTAGGTCTTTAATTTTCTTTAGCAATGTTTTATAGTTTAGTGCCCAAGTCTTGCACTTCTTTAGTTGGATTTATTCCTACGTATTTCATTCTTTTGAATGCTATTATAGATGAAATTTATAGTATGTATTATTTTTATGGATTTTTCATTGCTAGTATATAGAAATATGATTAAGTTTTATATATTTATTTTGTTACCTACAGTCTTGCCGAATCTGTTTATTAGCCCTAATGGTTTATTTGTAGATTCTTTAGAATTTTCTTTTTTTTTTTTTAATTTTTTAATGTTTATTTATTTTGGAGAGAGAGAGACAGAGTGT